AGTAAAGATAAAAACGTAGCTTTTTGTTTTATCGTCTGATTAAAAATTAAGAAAATTATGAAAAAAGAATAGCTTCTTGGTAGAAATAACATTGTGTGGTTCCACGAAAAGTGTGAGTTACGTGATGTGGTCGCCCTATAAGCAAAGAATATTCATAGGGGAGTAAGCCTAGCTTCAATAGGCGCAATGTAAATAAGTCCCCCAATGTTAGGTATGGTTCCTGTCTGTAAAGGAAAAAGCAACATTTAAGGGCACAACAGTTCAGTTTTCGAAACTGCTTTGTAACCTCCTCTCCCCTTAACCTCTACTGGGGTTAGGATGAAAAAGTTTTCTCTTTTTGCTTATGGTTGGCTTCTTCTGCATTTATATTCTATTCATAAATAGTACTGTATTAAGATATTTCTTCGAGAATACATTTATATCTGCCAACATATTTGGAATTAAAAAGAAAGAATAAAATGGCGGTTGGTGAGTTGCTGTAGTAGAGTTAGGAAACAACTGGTTCACGGATGTCACTTAATTTCTTATGTGCATGCATTGGATTTTGGTACATATGACGCTTCGCTAAATCTGAGTATGTTGCTCACCGTTGTTTTTCTGATTCAGCGTACCTCGCTGAGCAGTTCTCCGCTTTAGTTACCTATTTAAGAAGCTTCTCCTTTCTATATTATTTGCTATAAGTCTATGGTCACTCTCCGAACTTATCGTTGTTCTTGTCGTAGGACATTAAGACAAGGGATTGTTCTTGTTTTCATTTGGAACCATCTATGGCTAAGAACTCGACTTCTGCCACACCCATACGTCACACACGTTTATGGGGCTGACCCATTTATACATCCATTCATTCATCCACAGATCGTAATTTTAACCTGAACCAGATAACAATCAATCACTATTTCTGTACCTCCAGAGGTATAATTTGTTATGGGAACATGGAGAACTTTGTCACCCGCCAGAGTTAACATGCACTAGTCATTATTTAGTGCACGAGGAGTCTTCGGACGGTTGGATTTGAACTCCCGCTCTCACGAACGTAAGTATAGCGCCCTGCCAACCAGGCTATCCTGGCCCTCAACTCATCTATTGGGATCCTATTTTCCAGATTGTGACTACCCCCTATTTTTTCAGGGATGCCTACTTTCTGCGCTTTTTGAAAAAATTATATCTTGCGGCAACTAAGTTTATGTTTTGATGTATGATTTTTTGTTTCGTAAATTGCCGACCGCACCGTGTAGGGATCAGGAAACTGGCCTTGCACCAGAAAGGTTCTCGGTTCGAATCCCGGACAAGGCATGGCTGTTCCTTCATTCTCTGTATTATCTGTCCTGACTGTGGGAGCAAAGTTTGCGCACCTAATAGGGTGTCCCTGAAAGCGTGGCCACAAAATCTGCCCCTCTGATGCCTGCATGACGAAAGGTCATTCCCCAGGTGAACAATGGGAAAAAAATGCTTCGTAAATTTGATTTAAAGTTGTTTTCCACATTACTACATGTAAATGATTTAAAATGCTATGTAAACATTATTTTAAACTGTTGGGGGGGCATTTTAAATGTTGGTAAAATTACCAAACATTCAGAAGCTTTAGTTTTTTATTGTCTACCACTCTATAACATATTTAGTAAAAAGCTACGTAGCTTTCAGTCCTGTATTTTGAAGTTTAAAAAAAAGGCATGTTTATTAAAAAAAATTACGCTTTTAAGTTTGATTTTGCAATTTAAAATATCGTCTCTACTAATTAGTATGTTTCATGTTAGGAATACGGGCCATTTAGATTGAGCACTAGTATGTGTAAATCTGATCATTAAATCAAAAGTTATTGAAGACATTTTATTTTATGCACATAGAATCAGACATGTCACTGCATCGAACAACATTCTGCTACCTTTTATTATTTTTGATTAGTTTATAATTCATATAAACTTAAATGGAGTCAAGTTTCCGTTCAGATGAAAAAACAACTTAAGTAAATATGAATTCACATGTATAATTCATAACAATTCAAATGAAGTCAAATTTCTATTCAAATATAAAATTCGTATCTGAAATGAACTCAAGTGAACACACAGAAGAAAATCTCATACCAAACCAACTAAAATTGTTTTATTCAGATGCTTCAGATGAAAGTTTTTATTCAGATGCAAAATCCGGTAAAGCCTTTCTTACTGTTTAAACAAGGATATTTTCAAAGAACGTATTTTAAATATAATTATGTATTTTGGGAAACATTTATTCTCACGACTGTTTATTTTTTTCAAACAATGAAATTTTGACATTGATAGATCACAAATTTGCAATTAAAAGTGATATTTTGGCATCTCTTTTACAACGGTGGTTTTTCCAGTTATTGCATAGGCGTTTGAGCCTGTAATGCCTGTTGATGTTAAAGTATGAAAATTTTCAAACTATTACGAATAAAATTATGAAATACTCATTAACACATTAAAAAATTTTAATCAAATTTCTGCCTAAAAAGTAGATACATCAAAAGTATGAAAAAGTAACAGATTTTTCTGCTCTGAAGATATAGAAATAAAAAGAAAAGTTTAATTTTCCGTACATGTAAATAAATTGATATAAAAAGTACAAATGTTCGATTGTTAGGGTGAATCTACCGGTATCTGGTTTCTTGCTTTGTCCAAATGAGAAATGTTCCATCTGCAGGGGAAAAAAACGTGTTTTAGAAAATTATTCAGTGAAACTATAGTAAAAATTGTTTTGAATGTGCAAAGAGAGTCACGACACAAAGAAGCTGAAAAGAGCCACAAGTGAAGAATAGTCAAAAATGTGTTTCAGTAAGGTATTTAGTGAAATTGCAAGAATAATTGCTTTGACTGTGCAAAGAGAGTCGCAACACAAAGAAGCTAAAAAGAGTCGCTAGTGAAGAATAGTCAGCACATATTTCAGTAAATTATTCAGTGAAATTGTAGGAATGTTCGTTTTGAATGTGCAAAAAGAGGCGCGACACAAAGGTGAAAGAACAACAAGTGGAGAAAATGTCAAAAACTTGTTTTAGCCGATTATTCAGTGAAACTTGTAGGAGAACTATTGATTCGGATGTGGAAAAGGCGTCGCTTCACAAAGAAGCTTAAAGAACCATTAAAGAAGAACATACAAAATGTGTTTCAGAATTTTTTTTCAGTAAAACTGTACGAGTATTTGTTTTTAAAGTGTACGAAACATGGCGATACAAAGAAGCTGAAACGCCGTTAAAGAAGAATGTTCAAAACTTTTTTCAGTGTATTATTGAGTGAAACTGTAATAATAATTGGTTTGAATGCTCAACGAGCCTCACGACACAAAGACTTGGCAAACGCAGAGATTTATCACACGCAGATTTATCAAAAGCAGAAGAAAATAGCCTAAAAAGGGGAAGGAAAAAAATTTGGAAAAGTGCTGAGTTGAAAATAAAAACAAACTTGAGATTAAAAATTTACTAGTTCGTAAAGAATATATAACTGAAGAGACGATCCGGCATTCATAGCGGAAAAATAGCTTTTTTTACAAGAACATCATTTGAAGAAAACTCTAAAGTGTATCTAAACCAGACTATCTTCTCTTATTGGCCAACCGATGAAAATTAAGCCATATATTTAGATACATTCTTTCTGCTTCATAAAATAGACATAACTCAACACGAATGTTTGAAAAAAATAGACATAGCTCAGGAATGGGAAAAAACATAGCATTTGTTTCCGTATTTTAAACTGGTACTTTGACAATTGTATTTTAACACTTTATGAGAGGCCGTGGGAAGTACGATTCCCACCAGGTTCATTGATTGTTAAGCGTTGATGGGAATCTATTCCTCCTCCTATGATTTATCTTGTTCATCTGCTGTTAACTTCAGAAAATATTGGACGAAAATGCTAATGAAAGGCTTTGTTTACATAAATGTTGGTATCAGTAAAGGTTAGCGTAGGATTAAGAAGAGGGAATAACACTGGGGAGTAATTTCGTCTTATGCGTTCTTTCATTTGATTATCTTTCATTTCTCATTCTAAAAATCTTAAACACATAATTTATAAATTCGGTTATTTATAAGCAGTTGTAGTTGTTGCAGTTGTAGTTAATTTACGTCGCACTAGAGCTGCACGTTGGGTTATTGGCGACGGTCTGGGAAACACCCCTGAGGATGATCCGAAGACATGCCATCACAATTTTGATCCTCTGCAGAAGGGATGGCACCCCCGATTCGGTAGCCCGACGACTGCACGCGAAATCGAGCACTTTACGGTAGAACAGTTTAACGAGGACCCATACCGCACACCCTCGGTCCCTACGCAGGCTGATTCAAGTGGTCACCCACCCGCGCACTGACCGTAGCCAGTGATGCTTGACTTCGGTGATCTGCTGGGAACGATCAGTCCAATGCGGGACGTTATTTATAAGCAAGCTAATTCAAGCTTATGGTAATTTTTTTTACAGAAGAAAAAATTTTGTCCTCCCACAATATATAAACTTAAAATAACAATTTAATTTTAAGTAATAGGTTACGTGAATTTCTTTTCATGAGTCAATCTTAAGGCTACGGTGGATTCTCAAAATCAATTTTTAAAACTATTAACCGATTTTAATGCAATTTCGAAATCTCAATGGGTGAGGAATCCTATCTCGTTATTTGGATTTTAATCTACCATTTTTATTTATTATTATTTTTTTAAGGTTTGAAATCCTTAGATGGTTTCTTTTTCGTGATGTGAATTTTCATCGAGGTTTTTTTTCAAGGTTTATAAAGGTTTTTTTTTGTGATTTGGATTTTTGTCAAGGTTTATTTTCGAGGTTTGAAATTCTGTCAAGAATCATTTTTGAGAAATGTTCTTTTTTGAGGCTTATAGTGTTGCGAAAGTTTCAGGTGCTTTTGATTTTAGAATAAGATATTTTTCATGATCAGAATTTTGTCAATGATCATCAAATATAATATTAGCTACGTAACACCCTCCTTAAAATGATTTTGGCACTACAGGAATGATAAAAATGTTAAAAAGGAAACAAAACCAAAATAAAATATAAAAATATACATTTATTCACATCCTTAAATAATTAATGATAAAAAATGAAAATCATACAAAATGCACACTTAAATAACAAAATGTCAGATAACTATCAAAATATTAAAAACAATATAAAAAATATCCGTGTAGAAAACTTTGTATAATTGATTTTCACACATTCGATAGATTTGTTTTAAAAAAGAAATGTATGCTTTTTTCGATAGTAAAATCAAAATTTTAGATCAATTTCCTTCACAATAAATTAACTCTATAAATAATGAAAGGTGCATCAAGATATGTTTAAGGCAATTTGTGCCAAAAAATAGATGAAAATTATATGTGTAAAATTAAGTAATTATATAAATAAAAGAAAAATATTTATTAAAACTTCTACATGAAAACGCGAACTGCGAACATCAATTAACTCTAAAGCTTGTTAAACACAAAAATAGTTCCTCAGATCGCTTCAAAGCTGTTAAAAATGTCTTCTAACTCAGAAATAAAAATTTAGTTCAAGAATATTTAATTTTTTATTAGCTTCAAAGGTAACTATTAGTTATTTAGCACTCTTCAAGCTTTTGTAATAATTTTAGTTTTACTGACATGACACTACGGTTTTAGGGTTGTTTTGATCTTAGCTAACTTTAATCAAGTGATTGACTTTGTTTTAAACCCAGTTTTAGACACGATATACCCGAAAAGTAACTCTCGCGACAAAAAGACAAATCCCCTAAAAGCTTGTTAAATTTTAAGAAAAATTCCTTTGAAAAATAATTATTTCACTTTAACATCTTAATAAATTCAATATTTTTACTTAAACAACTTTTTAATTATTTCAATCCTGCATTACTTCCATAATTTCTTAATTACTTCAATGCATATTACTTTAACAACTTCTTAACTACTTCAATACTGTATTACTTCAAAAATTTCTTAATTACTTCAACAATATTCTAATTGCTTCAATACTACTGTCGAATATTAAAAAATGTATGTATGTAAGTTTGTATGATGGAAAATTTAACATTGACGTAAGGAAAAAAAAAGAAACATAAAAACGTAATCTGAAATGTTATTGTAAAAAAAAGGTTTACTTTTATTAAACAGTATGAATGACTAATACAAAACTATTATTTTGGTTCAGAGCAATAATCTTAATTTTTGTCAATTTTTTTTTATAATAGCAGTTTTTCGGAAAAATCACGAAGTTAGTTTATTGTGAACCAATTCTTTTCTGTTTAATACATAATTATTTTCGTCTTTATTTTAAAATAAAATTTTTATTGTTGTATTTTAACTTTTAGTAAACTATTATACATACACATTTAATAGTAGTTATTCTTATGTTTCATGACTCTACTTTTTAGAGTCATATTTTAGAATACATTTTTAGAATACTTTTTAGAACACTTTCTTTTCACAACATTTATTTAGCTCTGAACATTTTATCTCCAAAATTCGCTACATAATAAATAAAAATCCTAAAATTAAATGTCTTATCATTTTGACTGAAATCGAATTCAAAATGGAATATTTTTAAAAGAATAAATAAGCGGTAAATAATTTAATACCAAAACTTGACAGTTTAGCTTTTTGATATAAAGGTTTGATAGTAATATAATATAACTGCTTAACGAGGGCCAATTAACGTGATATGCTAAAAAACGATATCTGCAAGAATTTCGATATCAAGGTTCTATAGTGATAATTTTCAAATAGTCATTATTCATGCAGTGCATAGTTTTAATTATAAATATGATCGAAATTTCCACACTATGAATCAAGTTCAACTTATTTCTTAATCAAACAGACAGTAAACATTTTAACACCTATCTTGAAAGGAGAACAAAGGTTGCTAAACAGATATTTGTCATGCGAAAAGCCATTTAGTATAAAAAGGAACATGCAGATGCGTTGTGGGTATTTTAGAACTTTGTCTTACAGGTCTCCAGGTTCTTTTCCTCGCCGACCACCAGGTCGACCTGTGGAGGGGGTTTCCTTGGTGGATGGATCACCGCGGATGAGGTGAGACCGTTGACGTTGACCACCTCCTCCCTCCGGAATAAGGCAGCAATTTCTTCGAACGTCCTGTTCTTGGTCTCTGGTACCTTCTTGTAGGTGAAGGTCCAGAAAATGGCCAGCAGGACAGTGAACGGCAAAAAGGAATAGTTTTCAAACACCCGCTGAAAACACAATAAACAATGGGTTTCATTATACAATGAATTACAATAAATGTATTTTGTATCAATGGAAAATACGACTCTTTGCGAACTACAGACGTCAGTTGGCAATGGGTTTATAAGGCTCATTGCACTAGGCCTAAAAAATGATGTCAGCCGTTTGCAAAGAGTTGGATTAATTAGCCTAAGACACATACTTTAATTCAAGACTATTTAAATTACTTACTTATTTAGATTACTTATTTAGATTATCAGTACCTGATAACTTCGATGCATAATAATTTTGCTTATGATTTTCATGGGTTCGTGCCTGATTTTACGTTAAGTCTTTGTGAAAATATATAGTGATAGAATTGAAATCTTTGTGAAAAAATATAGGCAGTGCTACTTAAGGGAATTAATACTTGACCTGATTTTCTCAAAATAGAATAGAAAGAATAGCTGCTAACGTAAACAAATGCCATGTTTCAACAACCAATCAGGATCGAGATACCCACACTACGTCACTTGCAGGAATCCGATTCCTAAAATAAAACCTAATATCTTCCAATATGAATGGTAAGTTGATTTCATTACTAAATTTTCAGTAATTTTTTTCCGACAATCATTGTGATCCACGGTTTTTTTCGTCTTTCAAAGTGATGCTTTGTTACTATGCAACGTTATATGACCTTCCCAAAAACCCTAAAACTATATGACGTATACAGCAGAGCAGTGTCTATATAACATAACTAGTAATGGTAAAAGATAAATAAGTGTAAATATTCTTACCTGCATCTGAGGAAAGATTAAACCAACTAAGAAATTCGCAAACCAGTTGACGAAAACAGCCACACTCATAGCTGCCGGTCTAGGACCATGAGAAAAGAGCTCGGCCGTGATCATCCACGGGATCGAACCTGAAAACCCCCCAAATACACAATCAATCAAATATACAGTTCGGAAAAAAAATTATAACTTTATGCAAATGAAAAATCAGCAAAAGTATATAACACAAAAATAGACTTAATTGATTTTAATTTTAATTTTTCACTTTGTTTTGGCTAAAATTTTAGAAGAGCTCTAGAATTGCAAGAATATAATTTTGAATGAATCACCTTCGTATAATCTAGTTTTCGATGATTTTAATCCCTGAATAGACTCTTTTGTTCTTAACAAAACTTTTGTTTTTGTATGTTTTAAAAGAGTACTAAAGATAAAAGGGAATTTTTCTCAAATATCATTTTGCACCATTAGACAAAACATAATACTTGACAATAATCGTCCGTACACCAATTTGTGTGCCATAAGTCCCTTAAAGCTTTGAAAGCCTTAAAACTGATAAATAAATGACAATTTACATCATGATCTAAATACATCAAACATTACAAAATAAACCCCTAAATATTTCTTGAGAATTTAAAAAAAAAAAAAGTAAAACTGACAGAGTCTTTTCCATTATTATATTACGGAATAGACACTTTAATAACAGCCCATTATAAATAATTAGTATTCTTGTAGAAAACAAATTAAGGTATACCTATTTTAGAAGTAAATTATTATTTAAAACAGGAAAAACAGTTATAAAATAAATTATTTACAAAGAGGCGAGGCTGAAAGTATTCAAGCGCTATGATCATCTGAGCCGCGATTATTACTCCAAGTTTCAACAGGCAATTAAACAAATTTTGATGCATTTCATCCCACCTTCCTCACTACTTATTTGACCGAGTTCAAAGTATTTTTGTCTTAAATATTAATTTGCGGCCCCTAATATTTCTCATTCTCTTTTTGATGTAGATTTCTATTCTAACAGATTATAAAATAATAATTATAATTTTTCTTTTTTTTTTCATTTACATTATGGTAATAGTTTAATTATGTTCCAGTATACTGTTAGTCTTAGATATTAAATACATAAAAGTTTTAAAAGTAATGTTTAAATCAATTTAGAGAGTCATTTGATTGAATTTATAATTATGCTATCACTTCTATGAATAGCACAATTTTTCTTTAAGTTTTATTTAATTTTGTAGTTAATCAACGAAATAGAGGAATCAATTTGTCAATGTTCATATCCTGAAATGTTCGATTTGGGATGTTAGTTTTGATGATGCGATTAGAATTAAGTGACTTGAATTCGATAAAGAATTCAATCGCATTCTAAAAGAAAACGGCACCACCGAAATATTTGGTGCTGCCATCTGGTGGATTAATCTAGTACCTATGCACAACCTTAGAAACAAGATTTCGAAACTAAATCTAGGTGAATACTGAAGTTAAGTAAAAGCGAATAAAAAGATTTAATTTGTTAATCTTTTAAAATTTCGAAATAATCCACAGAAATTTAAAATTCCCAACTTCTATAAATCATACGAATCAATATAAGCTTTCAAATATTAGAACAGACTAACACTTATTTTTATGACATTTGAATGATAAAGAAATTTGGTTTAAATTTTACACTAAAATTGGATATATCTTAGGCAAGATTAAAAATCTAAATCTTTAACTTCTAGAATTAGCTTCATAAGCTCTGCTAAATATTTCTTATGGAATATGGATTGTGTATATGATGATTGCTGAATTTACATCGAAAAAAGAATAATAATAAAAAATGGCGCATCCCTGGAGTTTTGAAAGTATCATTTTGTGTTGTCCCATCTTTTAAAAACTAATTTACAAAGACTAATATTTAGCTTTTTTAATTTGCCAGAGATAACTCTGGATAATAAATGGATGGCAAATTAAATGTTTTTCGACACATAAGAAAGTTAAAAATTTAATTTTAAAACTCGTGTATTATGTTTTGCATTAGTTCCATGCACGTATTAATGAAATAAAAAAAATATGTTGATTGTTTGAGTTTTACCCCCNTTTTTCCCCCCCCCCCCCCGAAAAATTGGTAAGGGAAGCGGTTAAAAGTCAAAGTTATTTATTTAAAAATGGCAACTAATTACAGAATATCCTGTAAAAAGATAATTATTCTAATTCTAGAATAAGAAAAAAAGAAATGGTATAACATGCCTTCAATGTGGCCATGTCCTTTCACGAAAGAGAGCAAGGAAAGGAAGAAAAAGTTTGAGATTAATAATTACAGAAAAATTCGTATACAAAAAACGAAAAAGAAATGACACATATCAGGAAAAATTGAGAAAATTTAGGGTAAAAACAAGTAGAAGAGGTAACACGTTTGAACAATAGATTTGTTAGCTCTGGTCACCGAAGGCTTGCAGCGCCATCTGTTGTCAACTTTCGTAACTAAATCCCAAAATTTCTTTACGAAATTCATACAGCTTTCGCAAGAAACACGCCGCTTGTTTCGTTCCTCGATCTCTTTTTGTTCACGAGATTTTATATTATTGAAATCAGTCCATCCTACATTGGACACAAAATGAAATTCGAAAATAAAACTGTACGATTAAGAATGAAGGGAAATACCGCTAAGCAAAAATGAAAATAATTGTACGCTTAAAAGCCGACGTTAACCCTTTACTTTCGGCGCCTAGCATGATAAAGCCCACCATTCTAGTTCAGCCGTAAACAAATGTTTTCAGCGTTTTAAGTTTTACTCGTCACTACCTGTATGATAAAAAAACGGAATTCTTTATCTCATAACTTTGTCCGTTTTTCTTTAACTCGACTGCAAATTTTGATCTCTGATAAATAGGCTATAAGATTATGCAATTAACTAATTTATTTTTGAAGCAACAGGTTTTAACAGCCCCTTACGTCCGTATTCACCAACACGGATTACCTCCGGGTAATCTATGGGTAAGAGTAAAATCACGAGTTTAGTGCGAAACGTTATTCTCCAGCCGAAATTTCGCCAAACTCGCAGATTTCATCGACAGTTCTGACTCTCCGGGTAACCTATTGACGAGGAGCTTGTAAACAAAAAAGATGGAGAATTCTATCGCTGCGTTTGAGCTTGAAGATCTTGAATTTCTTGAAACTGTTGAAAGAAGGGTCCTCTCCAACTGTCCCAACTATCAGAAATAATGACCTAAGAAGAGTTAGATGAAATAGACTTTTTTGAAAGATATCGTTTCTTAAAACCTCTCCACTTAAATTAGCGATACTCACGCTAATTTGTTTATGCACGATGCACGTGTTTATATTATATACAAAGTCACATGGTTTTACCTTGCCCAATCAAAGGCCTCGTTATATTTCCTGCAAGTGTTAAACTCGAGTTGTGAAATCCTCTGTTGAAAACGGTTGGAGAATAAAAAGCGAGGGTTAATCCGAGAGTAACTCTGAACCGTGGAGATTCCGATCCCCGAGTTACTCTTGAATTTAACTCGGCGTGGTGAATACGGGTGTTAATGGTTCTTCTTTTAATCTTTTGAAATGTGATCCTTAAGTTTTAAATCACTTGCCCTTAGTCCAAGTGACAGTTGAAGAACCATATGAGTAAAACTTCTTCCGTGATTTAAAAAAAAGAACTACAATGCAGAGAATGGTAGGCAATTAACATGTTGGGAACTCAGGGTAGTGCGAGAAATGTGAATTTCTGATTCAATTTATTAAATGGCGCATTAAATATCAATGATAACCGATTATATTTAATAATAGATTCACGGGTATAACGAATGTTGAGAGGTGTTCAGGCACTTGATCGGTATTTCCGACAATATTATACTCCTAATAAATAGAGCGGGCGTTGTATATATTCCTAATAAATAGAATAGTAGAACCATTCTCCACACGCCCCCTTCCATTACCATGGTTTCGGCAAATCTGGCTATTTTCCCCACGGCGTTTCAGTGAGATGTTGAATGTATTGGAGTGAGGGAAAAAGCAAGATTTGTTGAAACCATGACAACAGAAGGGGGATGGAGTATAAGAAGAGGATGGAGAAATCGCGTTACCTTGAAACATATATTTTATTTACAAAGATCATGTGGTCATTAATAATCATAGCAACGCCGCTATTAATAAACGTCGGTTCATTCTTATTGATATTTGGAATAACAGGAATATTAATCGCCAACGGTGATGCACTGTTTCCCGGTCTTTCTAATACTGATGTTTTTTTTTTAAGTTACGGGTATTTTCTCGATATTTTCACACTGAGTCCCTCTTTGGGTCAAGGGCTAGATTCAAATGTTTTATGGGTACTAATTTCAATATTGCCAGAAAAATTAAAATTTACCTCTTAAAGAGAGAATTATAAAGCCATTATTATAAAAGGGGAAATAAACTTTTAAACCTTTTTCTTTAATCAGCATATTCATGAAAGCGTTGTTTATAATTTTAAGCAGATATACATTACCGGTCAAAAGTTTGCGAAAATNATTCAGCATATTCATGTAAGCGATGTTTATAATATTAGGCAGGTATATTTCATTCGATTTTTGGGAGATAATATAATGTAAATAAAAATCAATTAGAATTGACTTACCTGGTCCAATAGCAAAGAAAACAACGAAAGATAATGTGCTGACAACGCTCAGATACGTCACCCAAGAGTAAAGCAACTGGAGAAGAGATAAATTGATTAGTAAATAATGGATTAGTAAATTAAGATTGATTAGTAAATAACGGAAAATATGAACTTTTAAANCAGTTCCATGTGTGTGACTCTGGAGACTTGTGGACGTGCGTTATCATGGAGCAGAACCACATCCTCCGACAGCAGCCCCGGTCTTTTGTTCTTGATGGACCTGCGTAGGCGTCAGAGTGTCTCACAGTACACATTGGAGTTAATGGTTTTTCTGTGCTCGAGTAAATCGGATAACACCTCGCTGCTCCTCCATCATCGAATTTTGCAACGCGAGCTCCATCCAGTCCTCATACGGACTGCCGCATCATTTGGACGCCGCTTTTGATAAGAGCTTCAGCTCTCTCCTGCGCATGCGGGCACCCGTGCACGTTCCGATCCCAGTCAGAGACTCCAATCGCATCCCGAGATGTCTCCNATTAGTAAATTAAGATTGATTAGTAAATAATGGATTAGTAAATTAAGATTGATTAGTAAATAATGGATTAGTAAATTAAGATCGATTAGTAAATAACAGAAAATATGAATTTTTAAAATTATGTTCAAATAATTCATATAGAACTAAATAGGAATGAAGTGCTATTTTCTGAAACCAAACGGAAAACGTAGGGCAAACAAGTCACGAGAAGTTTTCTCAGTAGTGGTGGAAGTTAATTACGAAAGTGATGCACCTTGCTTTCTTTTTTTTTTTTTTTCAGGCACAAAAAGACTTTTTTCTTTAGCTGGAAATACGCAATTCTAAACTGAACGAAAAACGCAAACGAAAAACACGAAACACATTCGCTATTTTAGATTGCCATTTTTGTCAAAGAAACTGAAAACGTTCGGCATGGGTTTGAAAGTCACGAGAAGTATTTTCGGTAGCGTTAGAAGTTAATTACGAAAGTGATGTGCCTTGCATTTCTTTCTTTTTTTTTTTCAGGAGCCCAAATAGAAACTTTTTTCTTTGGCTGGAAAAACGCAATTCTAAACGAAACGGAAAAACAAAAAAAAATACACTTCTTTTCTATTTTTTTATGAGTGTAATTTTGTTTATTTCGGGAAACACAGTCTAAATATAGATTGTCTATGAATTGTGCTTGCAGCATTTAAAAAAGAATTATAAATTGTGCTCCCCTCTTCCATTTATAAGGAAGTAGTAATTCCAGCCCTCTAGCTGCTCAGAAAGAGGACGAAATTTTAATTAGCAACACGCCGGTTGTTGCGATCAGGGAACCCTTTAAACTAATGCTACTATTCATCCCAATATCCAATTACAACTTAAGCACCATAGCTTGTTGGAAAGTGGTCAAATATCGATTGACGATCATTTCCTATTCACGGAGATAGAGTGATAAATTTTGCTTGTACTGAACAGGTACTTGTAGAATTAAAACTTGCACCGTCATCCATCCAATAGGCGATAAGTTCGATATGTAGTGTTTAGAAAACCTTCCGTTTTTTTATTTTATTTTCGCAAAGAATAGAACTCTAGCAGATTTAATTATTTTAGCTAGTTGAAATTTCAACTGAAGTAATGGCTACGTGTCTATAATGTCAGCAAACTACTACCATTACTATTATTCAACGTCCATTCAATAGTATATGAAACATGCCTACTCGATTCAATCTTGGGGAAAGTTTTGATAGATGAAGGTTGACATTGTCGATATTAAATTTTCTCACATTGGTGACCTGGACGTGATGTGAACTCTGCAACACCGAAAGTAACGCCCACTTCGATGGATGGGTCACATCGAACAGTTGAATTCCTATTTGTGACTGCATCCTTCTCGTGCAGTTGCTACCTAGTCTCATCTACACACAGCAGGATCCGGCACACACTCTACTTCGAATAACAATATTGAAGGGACAACACAAAGAACCGAGAACTAAATACAGATCTCACAACAAGCGCTCAAAACTATGAATTTAATACAGCTCTCACCACAAGCGCTTGAAATCCGGTAAACTTAACACAGCTCTCCAGGTCTATCCCAAATAAGGCAACTAGTGGTATCCGTCCATCGAATTCTATCCCTAATAAAATCCTGGTGGGGGAGTACCGTGGCGTAACTACCACTAAGATTATTCAATAGTATATAAGACATGCTGGCACGATTCAATCTTGGGTTACCTTTCATTAGATAAAGGTTTACATTGCATATAATACATTTCCAGACAGGTCGAAATCTTGATTCATGACGAATTCCGTTTGGCTATAAAATACGCTTGTGGCATTCCGAAAAATATTGAAACTTATATTGCCATCTAGTCGGAAATATAAGTTTCAATCTTTAGAATTTGTGTATTTTATAGTTATAAAGTAGTAAGAAGTTTGATGGAGGAGAAATTCAATTCGGTGATGAAATCGCAATAAATTCTACTTAATTGTGTCTGAAAGAAGAATTAAAACTAGCATTTGAAATCAATATCGGGGATCCAGCTAGCTTTCATGGAGGACTTTCTGATGAAATCAACCCTCATTTGCGTTACATGGAAGGGAAAACAATGAAAATCTCTCACATTCAGCCCTGTGGCAAGGGGAATTTCACCCATTATCCGTCTTCCTCAGAGGATATTTTACGTCATCACAGTGGTCAGTGCGCAGCATAATTCGTATCAATCAGTTACCCATGGAATTCGAACCTGGATCACCTCATTCGAAGACGAACGCTCTATTTCCTGAGCCACCGCAGTTCTTACGTAATACGCTATTACGCTTCTTGTTCAAAAAGAGCAGAAATGTTAGAATTCTGAATAGCTTTTTCGTTATCTCAACCCTGTTTTGCTCTAAATAGATAATGAACTAGATACGGAGTACCGTCTGTCTAGCTAAAGAGCTTCTCTCGCCGGCTGTCTAGAGTACTATCGGTGACTTCGGTGCCAAGCGTAAGCAGTTTCCAGAAAAGGGTGTGGGATAAACATTTAGAACAGGTTTTGACTCGAGTTGATAAGAGTATTATCAAAAGCTTCCTACTTTGAAATGCCCTTTCTCTTGTTTCCATAGCAACAGACACGTGACAGGACAGAGTATCAAAACAGAAGGGAAAAAAACTATTTACCTTAACAAGCAAAGATATGGTGACAAATATGCTGCAGATGAACATGCCCCCTAGGCCGTAGAGGTGGAGGGTCCTTCTTCCCGCCCTGTCCATGAGGGGAATGGAGACCAGGGTCATCACAACCATGATCACACCCACGCCCATGGTGGCATAATGGGAGACAGACTCTGTCAGCCCCGAAGATATGAACAGACTCGTCGAGTAGTAAAATACCTGGAACACAAAAGCTATTACTCTAATTGTATGAATACAATATGCATACATTTGTACTTGTTTACTTCACAAAACTTAGCTTTTTCGACAAGTAATAGAAATACACTTATACTCTCGATACCTCAAAGTTGAAGAGACGCAAAGAAAAATTTCGAGGTAGCGAGTTTCCAAGATAACAAGTTCAGAACGAAATATATTCTAAAAAGTAGAAAAATAAATTCAAAAAAATATTACTCTAAAAAGTAGAGTCACGAAACGTTAGAATAACTACTATTAAATATGTATGTCATGATAGTTGACTATAAGTCTAAACGCAATAATAATTTCATTTTTAAAAGTAAGACAAAATTACTGATGCATTAAATAGTAAAAAAAAAAAATGGTTTACAATAAACTTACAGCGTGATTTTTCTGAAAACATTCATTTTCTATTTCGAAAAAATTCAACATAACAATATTTTGAGAAGAAACCCTTCGGCATAGGAATTCAAATTAACATTAGGTGAATATATGGGGAAAAAATGTTCTGTTGACATAACAAGGTTTTCGAGATATCGAAGTTCGAAATATAGAGAGTATACTGTACAAGTAAAATATATGTACTCTCAATTCGTTAATTAACAAAATTAGAATTTTTACTATCATTACAAGAAACGAAGGTACAAGTAAAATATGTATGTATAAAAGTAACGAAAATATAAGTATATGCATTTTTATTCTGTTACTTAGGAAAATTAGTAAGCCTACGGTTATTACAAGTAAGAAGAGTAAAAGTAATGAAATATAATTGTACTTCACTACTTTTCAAAATTAGTTCTTTTACTGACATTACAAGAAAACTTTGTTTTTCGTAAGTACTAAAAATCAATAATCTAGGGTTTCCTTGTTTTGATATTACTTTCTTACCTTTCAATATTAACACTTTTCCTAGCACTTCGTTATTTCTAAAAATTATTATTTTTTCTCCTCTTTCATATTGTTTCTAAAGAAAATTATTTCTACTTGTACTTCTTTACTTTTAGAAGTTAGTATTTTCATACGTATGTCCGTTATTTTTAAGAAAATTAGAGCTTGTACTTTCATTACTTTAAATGCATCGGCACTTTTTTATTTTTCATTATCACCATTATATGTACTTCCTTATTTTTAGAAATGAGTCCTTGGAATTCATTACTTCGATAAACTTAAACGAGCATTTTAAATTATAGCCATTTTTATTTTAAACTGCATAAACTTTTCTTTCGATAACTATCTAAAAAAATGACTCAAGTTATTTCTTAACTAAAAGGAAAATGGGTTAAAAAGGAAAAAATAACTAAAATATTGAAAAAAAAAGAAGAGAAGAGATGGTGTCATGAAAAAATAAACCAATTACCAATGAAAGCTGTTCCAGAATAATTTGGTATGTATAGAAAACAAATAATCATGCACCAACTACGCAAATTATTTATTTTTATCATAATTAATAACAGATTCATTACGGGACGTAATTTCATTTCAAGAACAGAAACTATTACATTTAATGAAATTGTTCTTTAATTAATCAAGACGATGGGATGCGTTTAAGAAAACAGAATAAGTTTTTTCAACTTTTTAAACTAAGACGAAAAGAAATTCGTTTCGAAAATGAGCAAAAAAAAGAATTAATCACGTACAGGTTGGCTCCTTTTTTTTTATCGCCAAAGAACAAATAAGAAAAATTTTCCTAGAGGGCCCAGTAATTAAAAACTGCGTAATTAAAAAGCTGTTTGAGTTTACCGTGGGACAAAGAGGTAAAAAGGAGGAAAAAAACAAGAGCGAATTGGCTAATTTGAATAACAATAGCCAATTTTCTTAATCCAGATAATTGAAAATTCCCCGCGTTCAAACTTTCGAAGGAACGTTTTAAGAGAACGATTTAAGCGGCTAAGTAATTAAAAGATCTGTTCTACAATCTTCAAATAAACGCTGAAAACAAATCTTTACGAACTTTAATTTCTTATTATTCCAGTTTTTCTTTTTCATTAGTTAAAGGGTCCGCCTTAGTCAATATTGAAATAAAGTTTTTAGAATCTTTTACGTAGATTTCAAGAAACAAAAATTTAGTTCCGAACATTCTTCCGGGCATATTTTGAAAATATTTAAATCTGAACTTCTTTTCCAATTTTTTTTTCTCTATATAAAACAGCTATTTTATAAGAATTCTTAGATATTAACTTAATAAAAAATACAGAGTATTCTATTTAAGATTATCTTATTCAAATCTAGTTAAATATCAAATGGAAGGTTTAGAAAAACGAAACACAGGCTTCAAAATATGCAAATACAGTATACTACCAATATCTCAAAGTTGGAGGGATGCTAAAAATTTTTCTCGATATAGCGAGGTTTCGAGATAAAAAGTTAACAAAATAGGTTCTAAAAAGTAGAAATATATAGTCTAAAATATTGCTCTAAAAATAGATGACACATGAGAATAACTGCTAATAAATATGGAAGTAATTGTATTTGACGATAAGTCTAAATAAAACAATGATAATTTTATTTCTGAAAGTGAGATGAAAATAATGATGCATTCAATAGAAAATAATAGTGATTTTTTGGGTAAAAAAACATTTTCTATTTCTAAAAAAATTCGACAAAACAAGGTTTTGCGAAGAAACTCTTCGACATAAGAATTCAAATTAACATTGGGTGGATATGTAATGGGAAAAATATTTTTGTTGACCTAACAAGGTTTTCGAGAGTATACTGCATTTATCACTTCACTGGTCATAATGAAGGAAAAATCACAAAATTCACCATCATTCAAAAAGTTACGCATAGAATTCAATGAAACTGGCTCATAGTGCTCATCATAGTGCACGTAATAATGTATAAACTAACGTAAAGCATACAAACTAGACAGTGAAACAAACCAGAAAAATATATAGGGGAGAGTTAGATAAAACGGGATCGTCGGACAAAACGGGATACGTCGCCTAGGCACCAAACTATTACAGCTATCTAGTGGATCACTATTTGATAGAAAGTTGTAGATCTCAGAACTTTTTTACTCTATTTTTTTGCCATTTTCTACATTTACGTGCGTTGTTTTTTACATTGTACTGCCTACATGTATGGGATAAAATTCCGGTGAGCATTAAATTTAATTAACCATTTATTTACCAATATTTTTATGTGCAGTCTATTTAATTTTCTTTTCACATTTAGGCAGCAGCCATGTTTGTTTCAATAAGTGTCGGAGACGGACAAAACGGGACACTAGTGAGTTGGATAAAACGGGATAGAGTTTTTTATGTCCCGTTTTATCCACCTATTTATTTGTTGGATTATTACATTTTAAAATAGCCATATATTAATGTAGGCCTAGGCTTTTTAAACAACTTATTTATATTAGCTATATATATTTTTGAAAAATTTAGTCTTTTTATATAGTAATGCAAAATTTGTTTATTAACGTTCATTATTAAGCATTTAATTTTCGACTCTAGGATTTCACATCTTTCTTTAGAACTAATTGTAATGTATTTCTCTGATGAAGACTTGAGCTTTTTTATATATAAACTTCTTAATTTTCTGGATTGCTCAATTCAATCTACATTCAATTCTAAAATGAATTCTTCTCTTTGTAACTGAAGAATTTAAATGCTTGATTATTAAAGAGTCTTTCAGGGATGTTACGACATCAATGGAGTGAATTAGAAATAAAAGTGAATTAGAAATGGAAGAAAAGGAAAGGATTATTAAACTACAAAAAAAGAACCAAGAGAATTGAAGAAAAGGCTGCTAAGAAATCTCTATTAAGAGCACAAGGCACATCTCGACAACGAAAAATGTGAAAATAAGCCTTCATGTTTGAAAACTCATAGTCTTTAAAAACAAATGTAGCATCATATTTTTTTGTGTACTTACTTATAAAACAACAATCTATATAAAAGTGTTAGAACAGTAAAATCCCATGAATATAATTTATAGAAATTTTGCTTTGCAGTTCTCTGTCAGTTAATTATGCTTTTCACTTAGTTTTATGCAAAAAATTAAACATTGTAAACCCTATCCCGTTTTATCCAACCCAGGTATGCTAAAACGGGATATGTAAGAGTTTGGAAATTAATTTTTTTTTCTATTTCACAGTCATTAAAATTAGTTTAAAATATGTTTTTTGTGTGCTTCAATAAATGTTGTAGCTACAAAAAAAATAATGTATGGTTTTCCTTAACAGATATTCCGTAGTAAATAAAAACAATAATGGTATCCCGTTTTATCCAACTCTCCCCTACTAGGTCTAGTTAAGCGCCACTACCCGGTACACATTTTCCCGGTATGCCGTCCACGGATGTTTCTCCTAATCTATCCCCAGCAGATATTAAAAATATCAACGAATAAATTAATGCTAAATCGGATATAACAAATATTTCGGACATTCACCAATGTGATTGTTGACATTCACCGGCAAAAGTCGACATGATTTCTCTTGATTTCTTTTATTCACAGTAACATACATTTTGCAATATATAAACGGAATCTAGATTGTTTTAAAAAGATACAGCTTATTCATGCATACAGTAAGGCAATATCTTGAATAAAGAAAAAAATGTTTAAAGAATGCCTTTCATTAAGGTGCATACTCACAGCGTTGATTCCAGTGAGCTGTTGTGAAAGTTGCATCACAACTCCTATAAGCAACGGAAGCTGTAGATTCTTGTTGCGAATGACTTGACACACTGTCATCTGAAATAGTTTAATTATTAGTTATTTATTGAAACATTTACAGTGTGTTGCATACAGTGCATTCATAGCTGTATACGTTGTAGGCTACTCGGAAAATCCGACCCTCTGCAAACCTTTGCTGTCATTTTACAATGGGTTTGGTTAATTGAAAAATCTTAATCTTTGCAAACCGTTGTGGTATTTTTGTATTGAATTAGGCTAATTGGAGAATCCAAATCTTTGCAAGTTATTGCCATAATTTCACAGTGGGGTAAAGTAATAGGAAAACTCAATTTTCTTTCAAACTTTTGCTGCCATTTTACGATGGACTAGGCTAATCGTAAATTCCAAATTGTTGCAAACTGTTGCCTACTTTTTTTAATGAGCTAGATTAATTGAGAAAGTATGCAAAAATTGCTAGAAACCTTTTCAAGAAGTTTTTAAATTGTAAATAGATTCAAGATTCTGCTCAACAATTGCTGCTACTAAATTGGAGATGCAACAGACAAATATTTGGTACTTAGCCCATACTGCTTAACACAAAATATTCATTTCTAATGAATAATTGAAACAAAATCACTCACTTTTTTAATAATTTCAATTGACATACTATTTCAAATAACGCATCTTAGTAATGTATCACTTTTAATGTGTTACGCATTAAGTTAACTTAAACAATTCTCAAATGTATAAATTGATCCATTATTTATTTACAAGAAAAAATATGATTTAATATTAATAAGAATGTGCACACGATGTTTGTAAAAGTAGAAATATTTTCTTAGAATACTACATTTGGAATTTAAACTTAGGGCAACTTAGTTTGTCTTGAACTGTCTTTATNGTAGTTAAATTATTTTGTGAAGGGTCCGTTTTTATGAAAAGATATTTTGTGAAAGGTCCATTAACGGACCCAAATTTCTTCTAAACAGACCCCTGATTATATTAACTTAATTCTCTTAAATCATTTGATTCTTTGCATTATATATTTTTCAAGTGATTGATTCCATCAACTAATGTGTTGAATATAGTAACATGATTTTTAAGATTGCAAAAAATGAATAAATAAAATGATGCTCATTTAAGCGTGCAGAAACGTTGCTGACGCTTCGGTCAAGATATTAGTTTCTGTTCGAGTGATTATTTGATAATGTTCAGATTATCTAGACAGTTTGTAGATCACCTAGGTAATTAAAAAAAAGGTGACATTTTCTGTACATCAAAGGATCAACATTCATCATTATGCACTTCAAACAATGCATACACTTTAACGGATTACCATTATCTATTAGTTTGCAGATTACCTAGGTGATTTGAGAAATGAAACATTTATTTTGCATTTTAATTGATCATCACTCATCAATTCCTTTAGGGTTGGTGGGTGGGCAAAACTCTGCTTGATAATCTGTCGTGAAACTGATTTTTGTTTTTAAGAGGTAACATATACTCCTTGATTTAATAATTTTGAATGTAATTATTAACTAACAAATATTGATAATTAATAATAAGGAATGGATGTTGCGATAAATTCTCAAACAAAATTAACTTCAGTGATTAGTAATCACCTGTAACTATTGATAACCAGTCATAAAAAGGTGATACATTTTGGTTGCAGTGGCCACGGAACGATAAAAAAAATATTTCATTTTTTTCCGATGAGTCTGTTTATGTTGGAAAGTGATCGTAATTCCTATCGGTAAGAAAATTTATTTTGTGATAAATTCTGTTTGTAGCTGTCAGGAAATGATTGAAACTTATAGTGTCATCCAGCACGGAGCTGAAATTTAAGCTAACTAAGCAGAAAGTAGCTAAAAACTAAGTAGCGACAAAATGACGACGAATTCCATTTTTGTTAGCGAGGAAGTTGAACTAATAGTGAAGTCTAGCATCGAATTAATGTCGGCCTTTAAACACTCTCTCTCCTTCTAGACATGAAAGCAGACATGAAAGCGAGTCAATAAAGAGAGGCAAAAAAAAGAAAAAATGATGACTCACTTGAGCTTCTTGTTCTTGAGCTCGTTCCTCGGCTCTCATCTCTTCTAGATCGTCATCTACCTGTACTGTACAACGGAGTCTCTCCAACGCTGCAATAGATCAACATGACTCATAGGGTTAAAACTGAAATTTAGGGTCAGCTATTTAAATCCAGCGAATAAAACTAACGATTTAACGCACTATTTTAAATGACTTTATTTTAAAAGAAAATTCACAGATCTAAACCGTTAATCGATTCAGCTTTGCACCCAAGAAATCGAACTAAAAGTGTTCCCTCTTCCATAAGAAGATGCTAATGTTTTTTGAATACCGGCTATTTTACTGACCACAACCATAGCCGAGACAAAGAATGAAGAAAAGAGATAATCACAAGAAATAATTTACTCAGAAAGTGTAGACAGTAGGCAGACCTGAAAATACAGGGGAGCAGTCGCCGTCTGGAAAATGGGATCCCATTAGATAAGTTCAGAGAGTGACCATAGATTTACCAAAGAATGTAGAAAGGAGAACAAGTCCAACTTTTCGAATACGTAACTAAAGCGGGGAACTGGTAGGTGTGGTACGCTATACTTGAAAACAACTTACAGAGCGAGCAATATACTCAGAATTAGCAGAGCGTCATTTGAACTAAAATCTAGCTCACGCTCATAAGAAGCAAAGTGACAGGGTACGTTACCCGTGAACCGGTTGTTGAACAACTCTACATTCATAGAGCCGCGATGGCGCAGGGGATAGAGCCTTCCAATGAGGTGAACCGTGGCTCGATCCCGGTGATGGCTGGTCGATACGAATTTCGCAACCGGCTAGCACCGACCACAGTGCTGACTTAAAATATCCTCAGCGGTAGACGGATCATGGGTTAAAGTCTCCTTACCGTCAGGCTAACCGTGAGAAGTTCTCGTGATCTTCCTCTCCACGTAACGCAATGGCGGGTTAGCTCTATCAAAAAGTCCTTTACGAAGGCAAATTTCTCCCAATACTCGATCTAAGAGTTCCCTTGTCTTCTGGATTGAGTTCAAAATGACAAGGCTACGGAATTGAATATTAGTAGTCGTAAGCCCATAAAATTGGGTCGGCTGTTCAACGACGGTTATAAACTCTACATTCATGCTTGGGTACGCTGCCTACCACCATTTCATTCTATCTTTTCAATTCCAAATATGTTGGCAGATTTAATCAACATGGATGACATAAATGTGTTAGAAATATCTTAATTGATAATGCATTACTAAGCGTATCTAATAATAAATAGCGTAAAAATGCAGAGGAAGTTAACCATAAACAAACCCCAGTAGTGGTTAAGGGGAGAGGAGGGTGCAAACCTGTTTCAAGAACCTCTGCTGTTGTGCCCTTAAATGGTTTTTTCTTCATACACGGAGACCTCATCTAACATTGGAGGACTGATTTACATTATGCCTATGGAAGCTAGACTTCTTCCCCTATGTGTATTCTTTGCTTATAGGGCGACTGTTCATTATAATCGGAAACCTGCAACCCCATCAAGTGGCTCACTTTATTCTTTCTTTCTATGTCAACATGTGTTAGCAGATATGGTTAACATAGATGATACAAATGTGTTCTCAAAGAAATATCGCAATAGTACAGTATTGTTTATCAATAGTGGCAGAACGAACCAACTATTTTCTTCTTCACCTCAACATCTGTATCGGTTAGGAGGAGGGGAGGGTGCAAACATGTTTCAAGAACTTCTGCTATTGTTAATATTGTTTTTCCTTAAATGTTATTTTTTCATTTATAGGTATTGTTTATACATATACCTAAATTCAGTTTTTTCTTCCTTTGTACACTTAGGGGATTGGTTTACATTTTGCCAATATAAGCTAGACTTCTTCTCCTGTATATATTCTTCGGCCAAGGTCCGGTTTAAAGAGGACATATTACTGGGGGGGGGAGAAATTTTTCATAGCAGATTCTGCTTCCCCTATATATTAGTGAATTAAAATTTAAATTAAAGAAATAATTGAGTTGAGATAAGTAAATTGCGAAGTTTCAGACACTGAAAACATGTTTTAAAAATATCAGAATGCAAAAAACTTATTACTGGATTACTTCCCCCTTGCGTCATCCTCAGTCATCCTGTCTTAACTTGTTTGCATTTTGAAAACGTTTTCTTCAGCATTCATTATTTACTCTGGGTTAACCTGAACTCACTATTTTTTTCTTCCTACGCGTTACATTAGTAATAGAGGTTAAACAGAAATTGCCATGAAGATTTTCTCTCGTAATGTAGCGCCCTCTAAATGCTTTCGGTTTAGTTTGCGTACACAGAATCTCTAATTATATCGATTTTGCACAAAAGACCGGGCATACTCTATGCGCAACGTTACGCCGGTTAAATAAAAAACAGCAATTTAAAGCGATGCGAAGATAAGAGATAAAAACTTGCAAATGGCAGGTGCGTGGTTTTAAATTTTTTCAGCATGAAAAAGGAGTTCGGAAAATACGCAAATGGTCAAGTATCTCAACGCTCTCGATCAAAAACTCATATCTCTAAAATATTTCCAAAATATACCAACATTCATAGATGCGAGTTCAATTATCCAGCTGTATTGTGGTGGAACGAGACCCACAAATAACTATAAAGAAATACTGTGAGCAACAACTTAAAGTCATTAACGCTTTGAAATATTTATAATTCACACTAGTACAAGAAAAAAAATGGCTTGGAGTTTTACATTTGCTGTAATTATTTTCAAATCCACACATTTTCATTGAATTCACGCAACGAATTTACCAAAATTTTTTTTTATTTCAAAATTATTCTGAATTGATGTAGTTATTTATGTGACAGTACACAGAATAGCGAAGTTTATAATACGAGAGAGATTCCAAAAATTTGTTCTTCCGGTAATCGAAGAAGAATGGGATAAAACCGGAAAAAAAGCCGGAAAAAAAAGATATAATCTTTTCTTCAGCCNTATATATATATAAAACTAACTTTTTTTACAACATTTGGAAATGGAGGATAGTCGATAAAGAAAAACTTATAATACAAAACAAAGGTGAATAACCAAATCATCGAATAAGTATTATCCGACATACTTAAAGGAAGGCGGATTAATTTGTATTTAGGAATTCAACTCATATAATTAATGGAAGTTTAAACATAAGCAACAAAAGCAGAGGTAATTAACCTATTTCGGAGTGTGTTGTCGTGCGAATTAAGTGACTTTAAATGGATAAAGTCTCAAAACAAAGGAGAGGAAAAAAACTGAACATTTTCTGTTGTAAGATTAAAGTTGTCGAAAAGTATTAATGGGATTAAATACGAAGAAAAGTTAATTAGTTTATTAAAAATTAATACTAATATAGTTAGTTTTTCTCTCTTTACCAAAAAAATCGTAAGAGTTGCTGCCCGTTGTTAGAGGGGTGTTCAACTTTGCATTTCGTTTTGTTTCGCTGCACAAAAACTACAAGATTTAGAAGCTTGAAGTTTGGACGGTATATAGAAAAATGTGCAGGGTGTAGGATAAAATAAAAAGGTTAAGATTCGATTATTATATTATATTTGAGAATCAATAACTGTTAAACTTATAGGAAAGAAAAACTATGTCGGCTCATCGCTGACATGTAACTACACAGTTGAACTTTCACGTTCTGAAAAAGTCATTGCCAATTTTAAACATACACCAAGTAGTTTTTCTTCTTAATTCCAATTTGTTCAAAAGTTAATGCAATATTCCCCCGCATTTTTGTTTCAAATAAATGACCATTTACTCACTGGTGCAGAAAAACTAATTTTACTAAAGAATTTTATTTTTATAAGATTGCATTTGCGTTCACGTCGAAAATAACAAAATGAGAAATTAAAGAATTAAAGTACATCATAACTTCGAGCATTCGCACAAATAGCTTTTGAGTTCAAATTGTAAGAAAGTCGCACATCTAAAAGTTGATTTCACGAGAACTATCTGACTGATTTCGTTCACATTTTGTATTTTGCCAAATAAAATTACATTCTTCAAAATGAATTAAAAATGTTGCAATTCAAAAATTTCAACAATCAAGAAAGAGGGTTGCGCACTATTAATAAAATGATTACTTACATTCTCTTGCAGAGTATTCCTGCTGTTTTGTGATGAGCAAATAACGGGGGCTTTCTGGGCAGATGGGCAGGAGTAGTAACTGCAGGGCGGCCGGAATCACAGCCACACCTTTCAAAACAAAAAAGAGATTTTAGTGGTTGTTGTGAATCGTGCTGTATATATTCAATAAATTTTGAAATTAGTTGCAAAAGCGGAAAGAAAGAGGGCTATGGAAGCGATGTAAACAGTTATTCCCCGTTATCGGCAAAAAGATTTTACATGAAGGTATCGGATTAAAAACTAAAGCTTGCAAAATTTTGATCCTGTTCATTAACACAATAAAGGGCTCCCAAGCGATAACTGCATTTCATTCAAACTGTTGAATTAGAGGTTATGTAGTGGTAAGCAAGATCACTAACTGAAATTCTCTACATCTAGAATTAGGCATTTAAATATCACTAAAAACATTTTCTATGAAGCGGTGCAAGTTGGTATTGATGTATAGGTATGTAAAACTAACAGTCAAATAAACTAATTATCATTGACACTGAAGTTTAGATATTGAGCAGTAAAAATAAAAAAAAATATTCTCATAAGATTATTCTTTATGCTGTTGTCGCAGTATATAATTTCTTCATTAATCACTATGGTGGTTTCCAATTTCTTTCGGCTACGGAACCCTAAATAATCAACCTACTTTCGGAGGAACCACGACTTCATAAATGAAGTTTATTAAAGTAATCCTGAATGTTATAGCCTATAAAAGGCTGTTTTTAAAATATTTAATGAAGAGTTTTCTTCGTCTTATCATTAATAATCGTAAATTAGGTCTCGATTAAGGAATTAAATTATTTCATTTTGATTCGAAAAGCGCGATTTAGAAATATGTAATTATTAGAATGTCATAAATGCTTGTTCCTTTCAAAACTTTATTTAATATATTTCTACTAGAAATATTATATTTTCTTTTAAAAAAATGCCATTTTTATTTCACTTAAAATAATTTCATAAAGGAAACCGTAAGATTGAATAAATTATGCTTTATAGGTTTAATCGAAATCAGTGGTCGAAAAAACTACATTATTTTCGTAGTTTGATACATTACTTTCTTACAAATGTAGTCAACTTCTTTTTTCAAATATACCGACTACAAACTATTTTGGAATTGCAGTAACCATTTCATTGTTTTAAGGAGATGAACTTACATTACATGTAAGGGAATAATAAATACCAAATATACATGTATACTCGAGCCAGTTCGTTATTCCCAAACATTTTTTTTCGAATTTGAACTTAAAGGTTAACGCTTCAAGTTTTTAAACCTTTCTCGACAAAGAATATTTATTTTTGAAAGTGTAAAATTATCAAATACTTGAAATTTTTCAATTGTTTAACGCTCTTTCATTTGCTCTCAGAAATGAAGTCCATCGAAAATACGTTCTTTTCCTTTGAAATAACATCCATGTTTCACGAGTGTGACCCAAGTGATTAAATATCCATTTTTCATAATTTCAAGTTCAAATATTAGTTATACGCTACTTTTAAATAACGTCACTTCTGTTAACTGCAGTCATAAGGTTATTTTCATTGCATCCATCGACGAATCTATCCAATTCAATACATTAGAACTGCTTTTCTTTTTTAAACTAACATTAAAAGTAGTTACCAGGAATAGCTACTGTTTTTCTTTTGTATCGCACTACATACTACTTTTGTAAAAAGAGTATCGACTACGGTAGTTTCATTTCTTGCGCTACCTCCGACCACTAATCTTAACATAATCAGAGGTTTTTAAAACTCATCACTTTGATAAAAAGTAGGGGAGAGTGGGGTCAATTGTAACAGGGTACGATTGTAACAGAGCAAAAATTTCGAGTGTCGGGTTCTAGATTTGATTCCTAGGTGGCGCACAAGGTGTATTTAATAAATCTACATGTACACCCCTGATGGCAACCATTTTTATGTACTTTTGAAAGAGTTACATCACAAAAGATATTTTCACGCCACGCAAGTACTTTTTTTGGTATTAGAATATTATATTGTAACAAAGTAATTTTGTTTAAACAAATAAAAATTAGTAACCGAATATGTAAGTGGACACTTTAATTAACATTTCAAAAAAAAAAAGATTAGTTTTGCTAATTAACTAGCATTGTTTTTAACAAATGAAGCTGAAATGGCGTCTTGGGGACAATTGTAACAATAAGTAAAGGGACGATTGTAACAGCTGAAAATAAATAATCTTATGTTTACAAACCATTACTTAACTCTTTAAGAACCACCAATAGTTTCCTATATCATTTATATTATGTTGCATGTGCATTATTTTATTTGTCACCTTTCACAGCATAAATTAAAATTTTTAACCCCTTAAAGTTAAAAGTTTAACCCTTTAGGTCTCTGCTCATTATTATTTTTACTCCTAAAATATCACTACTATTTTGATCAATAAAAAAATATATCACAACTATGATAATATGTATAATTAACTATGTTTTAGTTGAATTTATGAACTGTTACAATTGACCCCGTAAGTGGGGACAATTGTAACAAGTGCACGACTGTCAAAAATTGTTAATAACTAATATAATAACATTTAAAATAAGGTATATATTTATTTTCTAGTAGAGGATAGTCAACTTTATTCGTCTGTCAATTAATACTAATAATATATTGGATTTTTTGTTAGTTAAAAATAGTTAAGTAAAAAATGTTACAATTGACCCCACTCTCCCCTACTAACTCGCGGGACTCAACGGAACCTTGGGGTTTCGTGGAACACCCCCTGGGAACCTATAACATCACCATGTGATTATGTTGTATCAGAAGAAGAAAAGTGTTTTACCGAAGAGGTAAGGCCATTTCTCTTCTGTACCAAGAATTTCATTGATACCGAGCACCATGGACAGGAGAAGACCCACTGTTATGCCCAACTGATTCAGAGTACCTGCAAAATTAAAACAAATGTTATGCACTTAGTGGAGGTTTACAATAAAGACAAAGAATACAATTTATACATTATTAAGCATTTCTTATAGTTTCTGCGTAGCAGCATTTCCTTCGCGAAGAATTAAATTTTCAGTTTCAGTGGATAAGATCAGAAAAGAAATTTACAAAATACTTAAAAATCGTTTGGTATCATTTTAACAACCAATCAGGCTCGAGAAATAGACACACTACGTCACTTACAGGTATCCCATTGAAAATTATAAGCCAATCAAGTGTTATACGAATAGTTGGATGTTGAGAATTCAGTGCCAGGGATTTCGGGATTCTAGAGGATTCGTCCATAGTGGATATGACTCCTCATATGTGAGAGCTCTACTGTTACAAAGGTTTTTTTTAAAGTTTTTTTTTTTTGGTCAACAATTATAAATTTAATATTTTTTAGAATTATTTTTATTAGTTATTAATTTTTGAAAAAATAATTTTAGGAAAGTATCTGCTGATGGCTATCAAATGGGCTATCAATTATAACAGAGTGTTTCCTGAAATTATTAAAAAAATAATTAATTGAAATCAAAATAATTAAAAAAAAAATTCGATTAATAATTGAAAAAAATACTAAAAATCGATTCGTAAACCAGAAAAAATATGAAAAACCCCTTTCATATATTTTATTCTATAACCGTCTTTGAACAGCCGACCCAATTTCTGGGTTTACGACTACTAATGTTCAACTCCGCAGCCTTCTCATTTTGAACCCAATCTAGAAGACAAGGGAACGCTTGGATCAAGTATTGGGAGAAATTTGCCTTCGTGGAGGACTTTTTGATGGAACTAACTCGCATTTGCGTTTGGTGAGATAAACAATGAAAACCTTCCATGGTTAGCTTGACAATGGTTCCATGGTTAGCAAGGGGACTGCAAGTCAAGATCTGTCAACCACTGAGGATATTTTAAGTCAGCACTGTATTCGGAGCGAGCCGGATGCGGAATCAGTATCGGCTAGCCATCGGTGGGATTCGAACCAGGTTCAGCGCATTGGAAAACGTTAAATCCCCTGAGCCACAACGGCTCACCCATTTGATATAGAAAAGCTCTCACATCTGAGGAATTATATCCACCTGAATTCAGTACTATGTCCCCAAATTCCCGAAACCTATGGCGCCAACTAATATGCCAATTAAAATGTAAAAAACAGTATCTGTAGTCTAACCTTATTTAGGTACAATTTAAAAACTCTTTGGTGCCAAATAATAATGCCGGAGGCGCGATGGCTCAGGAGATCGAGCGTTCGCCTTCCAATGAGGCGAACCGGGTTCGAATCCCAGTCGATACAAATTCCGCATCCGGCTTAGCTTCAGTGCAAGCCGGGTGCGGAATTCGTATCATTGCTGTAATTCGACGCCTGTTCACGTCATCGGAAGGCGAAAGCTCAATCCTCTGAACCATCACGGCTCAGACAAACTTTATAATAATCATGAAATCAAAACCATTAAAATTTACGATAATTTTATGAAACAGTTATTACCACTTTTTAAATTTTTACAGAAGAGACCTCCCTAAAAATCCCTCCTATCCTTTTTTTGGTTGCTTTGTCTTTAATTTTCATTGTAGTTGTTGAGTTTTAAAAATTTTAGGATTACATTTAAATAAAAGATGCAACTTTGCGTAAAACAAAATTTACGTAAAAAAACATTTATATCATAAAACTTGTTTTTGCAATTTTTTGTTATTCTCTGAAGAAATTCCAACTTTTTCTATCCGCAAATTTATTTTTTATTCCAAATTGGAAAATTATTCAAATATAATTTTTTTCTACTTATTTTTTATTTAAAAAAAATTGAAAATAAAGGGATTTTGGAGTCTTACATCAGTATTGGTCGGTCCCCCCTTTATAGTGCATACCTGCCAACTTTCACTCTTTCTGAAAATGGATTTTCAGAGTGGTTGTAAAACAATAAACGAAAAACAATCTGACTCAAAAATATATTTATATTTTGATCCCGTGGAAATTCGCTTGCGTAAGGATTATTATGCTTTCATATATTTATTGTAATTATTTATATGTAGTGGTGGTCAAACTCATTTATAATTATCTTTATAAGTCAAAAAGTTAATTGGAATAACCTGAGTATTGCTACCACTTCAAAAATGAAAATAAAATCTTCCGGAAAATCCAGAAGAGTTGGCAGGTATGATAGTGTCAGCAAATTTATCCGCATCATAATCTCCCCCCTCCATTTATGTGCTCACATACTCTTTTTACAGTTTCTATGGTAACCGAAGAGAATTTAATGCACAATCCTACATGCGACGACTATTGAATATCTAATAAAATGAAATGTACACAGGTTTGTTTTCACTATTTTATCTAATATACAATGTCTATTATCAATGATCAGTACATGCTATAAACAACATCGCAATAAAAGAAGAATTAACTAAATGAATAACATAGACTCGAGGTGAATTGATCGAAGACAAAATGACGAAAAAATAATAATTCCGTCCCAAAAGCTGCATTAAAAAGATTAAACGTTCCAAAGATATCCCCTTTCAAGTTAAGCTAGTAAGGGGGGACGGGTGGGTAAAAAAGCAATATAAAACAGAACAGATTAATGAGAAAATTCCAAAGATTCTAAAGAAAAGAACATCGAAATCTTTAAACGCGAAAAGGTTCTTGTTCGCCCATTTTTAAAACTCAAGGTGTAGAATTCTTACACGAAAGGCGCCAAGAAGAATAGCGAAGAACTGTTAAAACGAAAAGCAAATACAGGAGGAAAGAAAATAATAAAAAACTATCACTTTTCGTTGTCCCCAGAGATCAATTTTCTGCTATTTATTTTTCTTTTATTCAGTCGTCCGTTTAAAACCTTATTCTTTTTGAGTATATGAAAAACCTATTCTCAGATTTCAAATACGAAAATACCCTTAAAGCAGCTGGCAGAAAGAAAAATGATCGATTTTTTTTTTTAAACTCTATTTTTCATTCCTTTTGAATAAAATGCTCGAAGGTACCATTAACTCAACAAGTTGTGTTTTCAGAATATCACAATTCATTCAGAAATATCCAATAATACATTTATTGTTTAACTAAAAAATAAACAAAATTAAATACAGAATGATTTAACTAATGAATTTAAATAAAGGATATTTTTTTGCCATTATAGAAGGGAAGAAAACACAGAACCACTTCGAAATTTCTTAGGGTATGGTTCAGGAGAAAATGTAACCTTTAAATCTTATTTAAATTAATTTGTTTTAACCCCTTGATGGCCGGTAAAAGGAGGATGAAGGTCAACACGCTTCGGAAGTTTATGTAAAAACGAATGGGTTGTAGTTTATTTACGTCGCGCTAGAGCTGCACAATGGGCTTTTGGCGACGGTCTGGGAAACATCCCTGAGGATGATCCGAAGACATGCCATCACAATTTTGATCCTCTGCAGAGGCTACCCCGCTTCGGTAGTTCGACGACCAGCACGCGAAGTCGAGCACTTAAAGGTAGAACAGTTTAACGAGGACCCATACCGCACACCCTCGGTCCCTTCGCAGACTGGTCAAAGTGGTCCTCCACCCGCACACTGACCACAGCCTGTGATGCTTGACTTCGGTGATCACAAAGAATAGGTAACAATACGGAATTGAGAACGCGTCCGTGTGATTTTGGGCAGTTAGAGTGCTAAAGGTTCGTTTCATATATGATTCCATGGGTCGAGAATGGAGAATCGTCGGATTACGTATCTGATCACGGCCCTCAACGGATTAAAAATAATTGGATCTACTTTTTACGTAAATTCATCAAACATACAAGTTTAATATTTTCTTCTACCTGCATTGCAGCCCGTTTCTGGCCTTGACTGTTTCAACCAGCTTATTTCCTCGCTATCTAACCGACGCCAGTACTTACCACCACGCCTACACTACTCAGTCACTATTCCATTTCATCGAACCATCTCTTATGAGGTTTGCCTCTCTTCTTTTTTCCCTCAGGCTCGTAAAAAGCTTATTTTCTTTGAATTATTGTTGTCATTTCTAAAGATGTGAACAAACCAACTCAGATATTAGATTTTAATTACATTAACTTATCAGACTTGAATGATTTTAATTACTGGAAGTAATTATCAAGCTCACTTAAATTATTAATTTCACATCTATTATACATTTATATGACCAACGAACTTTAGTGCAGTTTTTTTTTCAGTGAGTACGTAGCAATCAATAATCATTTGAGTTTGGTGCAGCGTAGAGGCATATAGCTCTTTTGTAATTAACTTTTATGGATGTAATAGTTAGTGTTTAGTCATGAAAGTCGGGAAAATGTATAACAAAATAACTTAAAGTAAATTTTCCATTTCGTTGTATGGCTAATTTTAAAGTCAAATCTTTCAGTTTATTAAATCATTTTATTGCAATTTAACTTTTTCTGTCCAATTTAATGAAATTTGATCAATAAATGGTAACTTTTAAACATGTACTTCGAGAAAAACCTCTTCTGTATGCTTTTTTCATTGAGTTAGTTACATTACGCGAACGTGCATGCGCAATCAGAATTTACCTTACATTCCGTTAACCATGCAACGTTAAATTTAGCATGCAGATTCCGTTTTTTCGGAACTGTAAAATTGCATTTGCCTCCAATACGGAATCTTCAATTCAAATGAAAGAAAAGAAAATAGAACTTTTTTTCTTCTTAAATCTCCCGGTTGCCAAACTGGATTAATTATCGCCGTTAAATCAGCCAATAGTCGATTTTGGTTATTTTCTTTTTCGCCACAGCTTGCATTTCGAACGTGCGTATTGAAACCACTAAGGGCATTTTAAATGAGAAAAAATACGGAAAAGTTCTGAGGGTGTTTTTGAAATAAAAGAAAGAATAAAAAAAAGAACTTAGATACGCTCGCAAACAGTACATAAAAAAGAAAATTGAAAATGAAAAGAGAAATGGCAGGTTAGAGCAATGTATGGTTGGTTGGGTTATAAAAGGTATAAGAACAAATAAGTTCGAAAGGGGAAAAAAAAAAGATTCTCTTTACTTTCGGAATTAAATTACTAAAAAAGAGAAAATAAAAAATCACTGTCTCTCTGAAAAGGGGGGGGGGATTTAATTCTTGGCTCCCGACGGTGAAGTTGTTTTGTATGCACACGGGCTTTAAGCCTCCTAAAAAGTTGCGCCCTCTTTATTTAGATGAGAATATGTTTGGGCTTTTTCTTCGTTTTAAAAAAGTTTTATTTTTTCCTGGAAAAAAAATTCTTTTCGGCCGTTACAAAATGTTTAATCACTGGCTTCATTATTATGTTTCCTTTTGTATTCGAATTGAAAAGAACCCCCCCCCCGAACATGGTAGTCGTTTTCAAAATGATACGTTTTTCTTAAAGAACGAACACACATTTTAAATTACGAAAATACGGGGGATTAAAAAGTAACTTTACCAACGTACAGCCTCCTGGCGAGTAGTGCAAGGTCTTATTAAATATTTGAATATCGCGATACATCGTCAGGAAATATAGATATTTTACGATATATCGCTATGTTTCCCATCAAGTTACATTTGTCAGAACATGCGTTGCTCAAATTTATCGATACTCCAGATAAAATACAAAATTTGATAATTTTCATGATCGATAATACTCCGATATTATCGTGTAAATAATTATGGCGATATTATCGTATTCGATAATTCTATTTGAGAGATTAACATATCTGCTAACGATCACGATATTATAGCGGTCTGTCATTTCGGTACGTTTGATAATTATCGTGATTAATTATAATAGCGAATTTATCATTATTATTCGCGATATTGTTTTTATCTATAATTATAATACTTTCAATAATTCTTATATATTCAATCGTATAGTATTCTCGTAAGAATACATTTAAAATATCGTTATCGCGATGTTAGAACTATATCGATATTACATGATATATCAGCCATCTTCGTTCCAGAGAACAGAATAAATCATTGTAAAACTAAGTTTTATAAAGGTTTGCACTCAAGAAGAGTGTTAATTAGAATCGACAAGAAGAGTGTCGATTTATTCAACGTTTATGGTTAATGTTTAAGCGTCAGAATTTGTATTTTTCAAAAAGCAAAAACTACTTTTTTCATCGGAGAATAATCCGTTCATAGTAAAACTCAAAATGGAGTGGGAAAGATATACATTTAGCAAGAATAGCGGCGACGCTAGACAGAGATGAAGAGTACAAAATGCAATCAGTGTGATTTCTTTCCATTATCATAAAGTGCATTAAGTAGAGCTGAAAACCATGACGTATCAAAAATTTTAGAATATTTTTCTTTTGTCTCTGCGTAGTGTTCATTTAAAAAATTTTTTTACGAAGAGAATAGGTGCTGTCGTTAATTTTGTCAATGTAACCGTAATCTATCTAAATAAAAATATTCTCCTCATAAATGATTTAGGTAAGAAATTCTCCAGTTTGAGTAAAAAAATAAAATTTTAAATGTTATATCAAAGCTGAAATTAATTGCAATCGTCTGTATACAAGCTTGCTCATTACTTAAAATTAATTTGATGAAACATCTCAACTCTTGTGATATTAACCGCAAGACCCCTTACAGTGCGCATGCGTCGGTTCTAGTGAAATGCGCATGCAGCCGTGAAAAAATACCAAACTTATGTGAAAATAAGAGATTTTGCAAAAATCCGTAGGTTACAGCGTAGTGGAATATCATTCTAATTTTGACCACTAAATCAAATCAAACATTTACAAATGGATGCAGACCATTTCTTTAAAGCTGTGGCGTACGATTCTAGATGATCTGCTCTACGTAAAACTACAGATCTGTGAGCAGAAAAATTGGGTAGATTATAGATTTTGATGAATGCAGCGATATAGGATGCAGATTATTATTATTACTACTATTAATACTTCAAAAAATGATTATTGAACTTCGACTGATCATTTAACACTTATTTTATATAAATTTTATAGTTAAAATATAGGTAATATATAATTTTAAAATAGCGAAAATATACTTAGTTTCTTATGGAACTAGTGCAGTTAGACAACCATAATATTAAACGAAAACCAATTAAATTATATTTTTAATTGAACTATTCAATTTGTTTCAGAACAACGATTAGTTTCTAAATTTTATCAATACATTTCTTCAAATTAGATTCCATATCCATTTTTTTAGTTCAAAATTTGGCTTAAGCAGAAAGCACCATTCAACAGATATAAACACAGTGCTTGTAGCTTTGTCTTTGTAGCGTAAATTACGGCAGCATAACGTTAAGATAAGTTACTTCTAACTTACTTACGGGAGCGTACGTTAGCTGACGTAAAAATGCGAAATCTCCCTGTTCTTGGTATTAAAAATCGTAGGCAACACAATAATAAGAAAAATCATATTTTAGTACCTAACTTAATAATTTAGTGTTGTGAATAAGGTAATGTTTACTGTGTGTTTGGAATGTTTGTTTTGAGGGGGAAAAAGATATCTTCCTTGTTTAGTATGTACAACGTGCTACTCCTCCACATTGAGGTTAGATATTAAGTATCATCAGCAGATCTGGAATTGCAAATTCGATTTTGATGTGAATAAAGGGCCTTCGAAATTATTCAGTACATTAAAAACAACTATTTTGAAATAAATCATTTGCTTCTGATTTTATTTATGACTTAAAATATTCCCTTTGATTTATCATAATTATGAAACAAGGATGCATAAGTGATTATTAGGAACCTATCTGAGTGATGACAATTATTAGTTTAGGTTAAATTTGATGAATCCTATTTTAAGGAAAATATCTCATTTTACAAAAGGATTTACCCAAGTTTAACCGGAACTAGTGACAAAGCGCAGCAGACAGATTAAGCCAGCGTTATCAACCAGACAAAAGCAACATTAGTTTCTTGGCCGTTCATTTGAGTTTTAGGAAACTTATTGATATGTAACAGTTAAGTCACTGATCCAGTTCAACCTTTATTAAACTAATTTCGGTAAATGAGGTCAAAATGATCCGGGTTCGAATCCCAGACTGGTCGACACGAATTCCGCACCCGGCTCGCACCGACCACAGTGCTGACATAAAATATCCTCAGTGGTAAATGGATCATGAGATAGAGTCCCCTTTCCACTAGACAAACCATGGAATATTTTCGTGGTTTTCCTCTCCATGTAACGCAAATGCGGGTCAAAAAGTCCTCCACAAATTATTTCCCCCAATACTTGATCCAGGAGTTCCCTTATCATCTGGAATAAGTTCAAAATGTCAAGGCTACGGAGTTGAACATTGGTAGTCGTGAACCCAAAATTGGATAGACTGTTCAACGACTGTTATAAAATAAAATAAAATGAGATTAAAAGAGCACAATCTGTACTTACCGAGTCCTCCTCTTAAACCGACGGGTGAAATTTCTGAAAGATACATAGGCACAAGAGCTGTACTCAAACCTAAACAGGAGAATAAGACATTAAAATGAAACAAGTGAGAGGGAAAAAAATACTTTTCACAGTTATGAGTTTAAATATTTAAACAATCGCCGAGAACTTTTGACACTCTTCATTGGTTGTGTCGTAGTATTTTAAATTCCAATAAATACCAATGAAACATTGGTGTAAATAGCAAACTACAATTCAATATGAAATTACGGCAGTAATCTTTGTGACATTAAATTTCATTCGAAACAATGTTTCAAAATTACAAATAGTAAAATTTTATAAACATGTCCAAGCCAGAAGCTAAACTATGTCACTAAGGGAAATCAATCAATCAATCGTCGTTTACACTATTCCAATTCATATTTATTCTAATATAAACGTATATTTTGTGGTTGCTATCTGTAATTCATTGAATCACTTTTTTTTTCTTTCCTCCAAGCACTGGGCATGTACCTAGGTTATGAAAAACCCTTAACCATATAGCCCAAGATTTGGCTACTAATCCAGCTCCACTCCAGCCTATATGACATGATATTTAAAAAAAATTTTTTTTTTTACTGAAAGTGTGGAATTTAAGAAAAAATAAGACCAAAAAAATATACATGTGAAACGGGAAATTATTAAAAAGAAATGATTAAAATAAATTACTAAGAAAGAAAGAGAAAAAAAAATATAGCGTTAAAAAAAACTAATAGAGATGAAAGTATTACTAGATATAGAGAAATCTTAATAAACAAAAATATATATGTCTTTTTAGTAGGGATGTGTATAGACTTGATTGGATTGACGTAGCTCTTTCAGTTCGTGCAAGTAAGTTGGGCAGGAAGGCGAGGAGGCTCTGTGATTACAGTCCAGATTTAAATTGGAGTCTTGGTTGGATGAGTGGCAGTTTATGCAGAATTCTTCTTTTTCTGTGCAATTTTCGATATTATGACCTTTGTATCCGCACTTCTCACAATAACAGTATGACTCAGTACATGTGTTTTGGTGATGACCTATTGTCTGGCANAATCTTTGTGACATTAAATTTCATTCGAAACAATGTTTCAAAATTACAAATAATAAAATTTTATAGACATGTCAAAGCCAGAAGCTAAACTATGTCACTAAGGGAAATCAATCAATCAATCGTCGTTTACACTATTCCAATTCATATTTATTCTAATATAAACGTATATTTTGTGGTTGCTATCTGTAATTCATTGAATCACTTTTTTTTTTCTTTCCTCCAAGCCCTGGGCATGTACCTAGGTTATGAAAAACCCTTAACCATATAGCCCAAGACTTGGCTACTAATCCAGCTCCACTCCAGCCTATATGACATGATATTTAAAAAAAAAATTTTTTTTTTACTGAAAGTGTGGAATTTAAGAAAAAATAAAACCAAAAAAATATACATGTGAAACGGGAAATTATTAAAAAGAAATGAATAAAATAAATTAAAAAGAAAGAAAGAGAAAAAAAATATAGCGTTAAAAAAAACTAATAGAGATGAAAGTATTACTAGATATAGAGAAATCTTAATAAAAAAAAATATATATGTCTTTTTAGTAGGGATGTGTATAGACTTGATTGGATTGACGTAGCTCTTTTAGTTCGTGGAAGTAAGTTGGGCAGGAAGGTGAGGAGGCTCTGTGATTACAGTCCAGATTTAAATTGGAGTCTTGGTTGGATGAGTGACAGTTTATCAGAATTCTGTGCAATTTTCGATACTATGACCTTTGTATCCGCACTTCTCACAATAACAATATGACTCAGTACATGCGTTTTGGTGATGACCTATTGTCTGGCACTTTCTGCACCTTAATAGAACCAGTCTTTTTTTAATTGTGCAACGTTGTAGACCAGCGTAGAAATAGTTAAGATTCAAAAGCTTGATGGAGAGTTTTCTGTTGATCATTGAATCACTGATGGATTGATAGTGGACAGATAAGAGAAGTCAGTTTAGACATCTCTATTAAAATTTACAGGCGTTTTTGTGTTAGATTTGTATGCCATCATCAATAAGATAAAAGGCTGGGGTGGATAAAACTGAAATGATTTAATCCGAAAGAAGTTACGTCAAGCTAAAGGTATGAATAGTAAGTGTCACTTAAAATATAAAACAATCAGATTCTTTTACTGCTTGTTCGAAAGAAATATACAAATATTTTACTTTACAAAATGACTTTTAACAACAACGACAAAAATTAACAGAACTGCATATTCTATCAACTACTTTTACTTACAAGAATTTAAAAAACTGTTTCCATCGAAAGTTGTTTTCTTTTTACACTTATCACGAAAGTAATCCTTACAATTATGACTTCATTTAAAACTGATACGACAGTAACACTTCAAAACTAACAGACATTAATGATTTCCAAACATTTGAGAAATATGGTATAGAAATAAAGTCATTAAAAACTTAACTGTAGATTTCTCTCCAGCGTGACGCAACCTCTCTATCGAATTAAATCCTCTCTGTGTTAGCAATTCCAGCCATTTATTCCACTAAAGAGGGTGTACGAATCTTACACAAAAACACGTGTAGGTTTTTAAATAAAAAAGTTTACATTTGTGTTTTTAAGCGTTATTTCAACAAAAAACTAATTACGAAAGCTCAATGATATCTAATTCTCAAATTTAATTTTGTAATAATTACTTTTAATACATATGTTAAAATCAAAGGACTGAAGTTCTTGGGCGTTACAATAGATACTCTAGTTCTTACAACGCAGCCAAATCAACTTGAAGCAAAATTTATTTGTGTATAACACATTACAATTTGTCTAATTAAGTATTTTTTAAAAGCGAAATATGAGACAAAGTTGAGTTGAAGGTTTTTTTTTTTTGCACGTAAATGTTTTTAACTCGTGTAAGGTAACTACGAAAATACAGTGCACTCCCGATTATCCGGGTTAATCACCGGGACAGGTCGCACGGACAATCGAAAAACACGGATAATCCGAAAACTCCTTTTGTTAAAGAAAAATTAGATATCAGTACAAAAAATATAAAAATTACTGGCATTTGCATGCATATCATCAAACTAGGAATTTTCCTTTTTAAAAAATGTGTAATGCGTCCTCGCCATACATCGATACACATATTTTACGAACCGCAGTAATGTCACCGTAATCAAATCCTCCCATATAATCTAATAAAGCTTCCACAGAGCAGTAGAATGAGAAATTGTATTTCATTCATTTACAACATCTTCTGCATCAGTTACTATCATCATTAAGTGATTTAACAACATAACGATGTCCTCATCTGTCAAATACTGGAAGCCATGCTCACATGCATCATTTTGAAACCAATCTTCTAAATTTTCTTCATCAAGAATTTCTAAACCTTAGATTTCTTTTGCATGTTCGAGAATGCTGTTATCATATTTTTCTTGAACATCTGAAGAGGATTGTTCATCAAGCGGGATGATCTTTCTCCAAGATCGTGATAACGTAGACGATTTTACCTTTGACCANTTTTTGTTTTTTCTAGTAGAAGATAGTCTACTTTACTCGTCTGTCAATTAATACTAATAATAAATTGGATTTTTTGTTAGTTAAAAATAGTTAAGTCAAAAATGTTACAATTGACCCCACTCTCCCCTACTCTAGTTCTTACAACGCAGCCAAATCAACTTGAAGCAAAATTTATTTGTGTATAACACATTACAATTTGTCTAATTATGTATTTTTAAAAAGCTAAATATGAGACAAAGTTGAGTTGAAGATTTTTTTTTGCACGTAAATGTTTTTAACTTGTGTAAGGTAACTACGAAAATAGTTTCAAAACTTACTGAAAGATGGCACTGCATGTTATCTACAAAATGGCAAGTAAAATGCCAAAATATTAGCAATAAGAAAACTTGGCGTGGTTATTTTTTTCAAATTTGTTCGACTTATGAGTATTTTTGTTTAATTTTTACTCTTAGTAAATCGCAGACTGCTATCTGTTTGTTGTATCAATTTCCACTACTGTTAACGACAAGAACAACTGCACCAAGAAGATGCAACCAGTCTGCAAGCTTCCAATTTCGGAAGCATCTATGAATTTGTTTTGTACTAATCTTTCCTTACATTTTCAACTCTAATCATTATCATTAAAAGTTACAGTCCCGGAATGAAGGGTCTGGTTGGCTGGATGTGTTACAGCAGAGGCTACTTTTCTGACAATTTTTTCTTGTATCAGAACATTAAATGAATTTTAAAAACTCTTAAATTCGTACATCGTCCATTTAATACTGTGAAACCTCCAGAAAAGACCACGTCTCTGTAGCGACCCCTTTTGAGAGGCATGGAATTTTCTCATAGTTTTTGTGTTGAGGAAAACCTTTAGGAGAGATCCTTAAAATCTTTCCCAGCAACCGGGTGTACATGTTTGCCATCAGGGGTGTACATGTAGATTTATTAAATACACCTTGTGCGCCACCTAGGAACCAAATCTAGAACCCGACACTCGAAATTTTTGCTCTGTTACAATCGTACCCTGTTACAATTGACCCCACTCTCCCCTACTTATTTAGAATGCTCTTTTTGACGATACAACTTCATGTTGCAGTCAGAGTTCATTAAAGAAGATGCTATCTATGATTAACTTTTGAAGTTGAAAGTTAAATTTTAAAAAAAAGTTATTTTAGAAAAACAAGCATCTCAAACAAACCTCTTCTCATCTTTTAAAGCTAAGTAATTTCTAGCATATAAACGTAAATGATAATTGTTTATTTATTTTAAAATAGCTTTATCATTCACAGTTGGTAAATTTGTTTTTACACATAATTTTTATCAGTTGGAATTCTTTTCAGAGATGCAAAATTTTGATCAGTCTTTTCACGATGCCAACAGAAGTGGAATCATGAAGGAAAATGACACTTGTTAAAAGAAGACAATGACACTGCAGCAAGCACATCAGCAAGAAAATGACACTGGTTAAAATATAAATAGCTTTCGAAAAATCATGCGACTTCGATAGGCATTTTGAAGCCACCACCTCCAGCAACGGCCATTTTACTATGAAACGGAGAGTGG